TCAAAACCTTGATTCACCTGAATTACGAAGCCGATACCCTGGTCTTACTCGAGTCACTTTGTCTAATGACATGTTACAGCATCATGTCCACGGACTTGGTGACTCTGGATGGTCCATGGCACTGGTTGGGTGTCGCATTACGGATGGCCCTGCAGATGGGTCTCCATCACCGTTCCACCCACGACCGGCACACCAATCCAGGTTGTCTGCGCCGGATTTTCTGGCAGCTTGTGGTTCTTACTGCTACCAGCTAACAAAGATCACTGCACGCTGACCACTTGTCAAGACTTCAGATCGACTAGCAGCCTCTTGCTGGGGGCGTCCGTTGTCCCTTCATCCTCAGGAATACGACATACCGCCCTTAGAAACCAGTGACTTTCCCACTACGGACTTGCATTCGCATGCTTTCCTGGAGGTTGTGAGATTGACGGAGGCTATGAGCATCATTGCAGAAGCTGGCAATGGGCGGACAAATATCATTCAAGAAGAGGCTACGACTCTCGTCCAGCGACTATGTGACTGGCTCCAAACCCTGCCTGAAATTGTACACCTCTACGACGCCTCTGGCATCAGAAGGCCATTTTACCGCCCTGCGAGCGATCTGCATATCATATACTTTGTCACCATTATTCTCTTACAGCTTCTTGATGGAAAAGGAACGAGGCCGTCGATCGCTGCTTCCTCACTCACTGCCGCGTCGTGTATTTCCCGCCTTTATGAAGAGATTCACTATAGGGAGGAGACAGCCCACCTCATTGCCATTCATGGCTACTTTCTTATGGTAGCAGCAGTTCCCTTGATTTGTTTCCCCCGCCAGTCACGAGAAGACAAAGTGACTCGAGATGAGGAATTAAACATTATTTGCGACGTGCTGGGCGAAATGCGATCCCGGTATGGCGGCTCGGATCTAGTGCTGCGGAAGATTAGACAACTGCAGAAGGACACGAATATTCGCGGAGGCCAATCTGGCCATGATAATCGGTCTGGTGTCCCCGAAGAGCACGCTCTGTGGGCAACTCGCAGTATCAGTGAGCGGCTGAATGACCTCTTTGCTTTCCCCCCAAGCTTCTGTCCTCACATAAACATGCCAGAAGCGGAGATGAACCCAACAGAAGGTGCTGGAAGAGACTGGTTGTCGCAGATAGAATATTTCCCCGATTTCCTGTCCGAAAATGGGTTGAATCTGACTGATATGCTGGCTTTGGACTACAACCTTCTGGAGATGCCCATTGACAGTAGCGTGGGTTTTTGAACTGGAAGATTGCAATTGTATTTGAGGTCATGACAACTTCTAGGAGCTGTCTTGTTGAGCAGTTTGCGTAAAACGTCAAATCCATATATTTCGACCAAAGACAGTTTTGATCTCTCTTGCTTTGCCCAAAGGGTCGTCGGTTCTCGGTAAAAGTACCACGCTCGGCACTGTTTGCAGTGCCGCACTCCCTGCCGGACATGTTAGGCGTCCCCTCTAACCGACGTGCCATCCTTTGCGGTATCCCGACATAATAGAGGTGATGTTCTTCAGGTCGGCACGTCCACTTCATCGTCCCCCTTTGGATCGCATGCAGCCTCCGAACGGCCTATAGCTCTGCAACATAAATTGGGCATTATTAAACCTTGCTCGAGATGGAGAACATGACCGAAAAACAGCTGTTGGGGCTCAAGATGATGAATGGATTCTTCGGGGAGGACTTATTCAATGAGCTCAGGGAAGCTTCGGTGAGTGTTCTATCAACGTGCGCCGAGTGGAAGTCATCGCTAACTCAGAGAAAAAGCGAGATGATTTACCAAGCAAGGTTGGATCTGAATACATCGCCGAAACTTGCTTCTCATCATACGCTCGGCCGGGTCTTACCTTTCAGCAACGGTCTCTGATGAATATCGGCATGCTTATCGCTCTGAACCGAGGCCCGGAATTGCGCATTCACATCAAGGCGGCCCTCAACAACGGGCTGTCAGAGGAGCAGATTGTTGAGGCCTGTAGACATGCAATGGTCTACTGTGGGGTCCCTGCTGGAAGAGATGCACTGTCTCTTGCCAGTGAGATTTTCAACGAGAAGAAGACGAGCAAAGGGACTGAGAGGGCAAAGCTTACTTGAGCCTTTGGCAAGATTCATGAGGATTTACGATGACCATGGCTGAATAAATATATTTGTAAATGAACTCAAAGTTTTGATTGCGACGTCTGTTACAGAGTGGTGGTCTTGAGCGGAAGTGACCCACGGTCAGATCTATCCGGGTTAAATAGGCCCAAATCCGAGGGCTGGGATCGTATGCTGTCCGAAGTTTGCTGAACCCTGCATGAAGATTCTTAGAATTAATGTCATTCATTGGATCTGCAAAATTCTCATGACTCATTTTTGAAAGAAAAAAAGAAAAAAGGAAAAAAAGGAAAAAAAAAGAAAAAGGGAAAAAAAGGGACACTTGTGTGGGATGGGCGTGTTGGAAGTTTTGAGGCCAAATGACCCACATGGGTCAATGTGAATCACACACAGACACACGATCCACAAGGTCTAAGCTCTATGGTGCAAATTTGCTGCGGGGTTTTCAACAACAACCCTATTCAACAAGCACAATAGCTCAGGGGTAGAGCGCTGGGCTCATAACCCAGAGGACCCTGGATCGAAACCAGGTTGTGCTATCTTTCTTTTGCATTTTTGTTCTCGCGTCTTTTATCTTGTTCTGTTTAGCAGGGAACCTGTAAGTGCGTAAATCATAAGGTAGCGTTGACAACCACCCAGCCTTTGAACGGGAACACTGCCCTCACGGTATCACTACTACTGCTCAGTCACGAAATCTGAACCAGAGTTCTGCGCCCACAATAGCTGCATGATCTATTTTGACCTGTGCCTCCAGGGGAGCGCAGTGGCGAATGCCTCAGACTATTCCTAAGCTTCACTGACTACCGCTGTTACCCGTTCCCACCTTAAGCCGCCCAAGATGTCGAATGAAATTCCATCAGGGCGTACCACTGGATGATACTACCAACCAAGAAGGCAGTACTGGCAATGAACGAGACCACGGCACTGCCGAACATCTCGTTGGTGAGAAGCATGACACCTGTGACGATGAAGCCGGCCGATGCCATGGTGTTCCAGGCGGCACCCTGCCAGTCAGATGCCCAAAACCTGGGCTTGAACCAGCGTTCCTGAGTCTGTATGAGCAGAGCGGTATTGGCTAGGAAGAAAAGAGACCCGCCAATGACTTGCGGCATGAAGACGAGGGCTTGGAGAAGGAACAGGTTGGTTGGGTCAAGGACGCCCGGGAACCCAGCAACAGCAGCCGTTGATAGAATAATTCCGCCGGACAACATGACCAACCCAGCCTGGAACGGAACTGTGCGGAGGAGGGCAGCGAAATCGGCCGCGGATGGGATCCATACCCAAGCTTCGGATCCGACGAGGGCGGGCCGGTAAATAGCAGGGGCATCGCCGTCTACAGACTTGGTGTCGCTCTTCTCCAGCGTTCCACGGTCGGCATTGAAGGCGGCAAAGATGCCAAGGATGCCTCCGGTCATGAACATGGAGGCACCAATCAGGATCGTGCCCGGGATCGCGACGGTCGCCAGTGTTTCGAAGCCAAGACTTGGGTCGAGAAGCGGGAACAAGCCAAACCCTGCGTTGATGACGAAGGCGATACTGCCGACGACGAAGAGCATGGTGACTATCCAGTTCATATCTTTATACGGATAGATTGTGAACATGCGGGCGACCTGTGACCGTTTCGATGTCTCGACCTCGATGGCGTCTTCGATGGTGTACTCTTTGATCGGGGATGGGAGGGATGCCTCCCTATCCATGTCGCATCGGACGCGGTATTCGAGATAGTCCAAGGTCTGCACAATGCGCCGCCTTTCCCCCGAGCAGACCTCGATGCCGGTTGTTCTTGAAGGAAGGGCATGATTGTTGAGTCTTGGAGGAGCCTGCACTGGTACCAGAATGGATGTTCGAATCCTAGACGCTCGTAGGTTGGCTGAGGCGTTCATTTTGACGATTTTTACTTTCAAGATCCAGTCTGATTAATGAAAGCGAGCTTTTCTTGCGTAGGGGACGATTCCAGATCGCCGAAATTACGCAAGCAGTAATTCGAACAAATAAGACAGCAAAGAGAACGAAATCGAACAAAATGCAGAAACGACAATAACAACGAAAAGAATATGTCGAATGAAGAACAGCAAGGCGTGCCGGCACGCTGGAGAGAAGAGAAAAAGCATCTTCCTGGTCGAAGGTTGCAATGATGTTATGAGGCGATGGCATTGACAGAGTTCATCGCACTGACGTGGACAGTCGCGCCTTTCCACGGCTCTGGCAAGGACATGAGACAACTGGAATATCACCCAAGTGCCGGACCGGCGTTGACATGGTGTTTTGATCGCCGTAGCAGTCTGGAGAACTGGAGAACCAGCAGAAGACGTGCTGGGGAGGTTATAATAAGAAATACGGTTGACATAGCCGCTACCTTAAAGCCAATTAGCTGGCATGTTTTTCCCTGACACGATGTGCTCCATGCTCCCGACATATTTCACGGGGTCGCCCGGTGGGATCTCCCGTGTCCCGCGGTCTCCGGGTTGCCATCGGCACCGTCTCTGACCCGCCAAACTTTTGCCCGAATTGGGAACGCGCTGCCGGAGATCAGATCAGCCTGGACCAGCAGTCCATTCGTCTCGTTTCAAGCTCGCAGCCGTTTCGCCTATTTCAGTTTAGCGCATCCTGTCCAGAAGCTCTACCCTGGTAAGTATTATGATATCAAAATGCTTGATTGCGAACGTCTTCATTACTGATGACACCTCCCTGGTGGGTTCTTGTGAGCTTGAATCAGTTTCGTGTTTCTACTCAACCTCAATTTGCCTGAATTTGCCTGGAAACTTTCGCCTAGAATCGTGAACATGTTGTTTCTAAACGTTCTTATACGCCTGTCTGCGCGCCTCCTGTCTAAGCGGAAAGCGAGTACACAGTCAATTTCCTCCTATTTCCTTTGCCGTCTTCTGGTCCTCCTGAGTCAATATGGGTAATTCAGTAGTTGAAGCCGAGCAGGGGCGCAACTCATCCCCGGACAACCAAACAACCCTCGATGAAAAAGAACAAGAGCGACTGGGGCGTCAGCGGCCTGAGGTCTTCAGCAACACTTTGCAAGAAGTTGGATTCCGCGCGTCAGTGCTGCTATCCAATATAATGGCAGTACGTCAACCTTTCAATATGAATTCCACGTACTGCTCTGCGGAAAGCTAAACATTTATCTACAGGAGTTCCTCATGAGCGGCTTCAACGTCCTTCTACCTAATCTCATATCCGACCTTCACTTCTCTGCAAATGATAAGACTTGGCCGTCCAGTGTCTTCTCTCTAGTTGCCGGAGGGTTTCTTCTACCCTTTGGACGACTCACAGACATGTATGGGGGCTTCCCCATGTTCCTTGCCGGTAATGCATGGATGGCCGCGTGGTCTCTCATTGGAGGCTTCAGCCGCAGTTACATCATGCTGGTTTTCTGCCGCGCGCTCCAAGGCCTCGGCGCAGCTGCCTTCCTGCCTTCGGGTATCTCTCTGCTGGGCAGCTTTTACCGACCTGGCCGCCGGAAGAACATTGTCTTCAGCTTTACGGTGGTTGTGCACCCTTTGGCTTCTTCTCGGGGATTTTTATCGCCGGCGTATCGGGCCAATTCTTGAGCTGGAGCTGGTTCTTCTGGATCGTCTGCATACTTCTGACCTTTGTATGTATCCTCACCTTTTTCTGTGTTCCCAGACAGACTCACCAGGCGCGCATGCCTATGGATTGGTGGGGATGCGCCACGTCGATTCTGGGTTTGATGCTGTTGGTTTATGCCATCACCGATAGCCCTCACGTACCAAAGGGCTGGGCATCGCCACAGATTCTGGTGACATTCATTGCCGGCATCATGTTTCTTGGGGCCTTTGTCTACGTACAAGGCTGGGTTTCAACAGCGCCGCTTCTTCCTCCCAGGCTGTTTGCCCCAAAGTACACAATCGCGTTGTTCTACTGCCTCTTTGCTGCTTTTGGGTCGTTTGGAATCTATTTTCTCTATGCCAGTTTCTAGTAAGTACTTAATTACTCCACTATCATCGAGAGTCACGAACTAACCGCTTCAATCAGCATCGAGACCATCCTCCACATTCCCCCACTGTTGGCTGCCGCCTGGTTTGCACCTCTTGCGATTGGGGGTGTCATTATTGCCATCGTTGGCGGGGCGGTGTTGCACAAACTTTCAGGAACGATCCTGCTGCTTCTTTCCGTCACGGGGATGTTGGTATCAAGCCTTCTTTTCATCTTGATACCTGAAAACCCCAACTTCTGGGCGTGGGTGTTTCCCGCCATGATCTGCGCGACGATCGGCATTGATATTATGTACAATGTCAGCAATATTTTCATCACCACTAGTGTGCGCAGCGATCAACAAGGTATCGCCGGTGCATGCATCAACGGCCTTCTTTTCTTGGGCATCAGCTTCTTCCTTGGTTGGGCCGATTTGGCCGTAGCACAGACATCACCAAATCTCAAGGAAGGATACAAGATTGCTTTCATCATGGGTGCTGCATGTGCAGGAGCGGCCATACTAATCATTGTGGTGGGGATAAGGATTGACAAAGCCAAGGGGGATCTGACCGCTGACGAGCGTGAGCAATTGCAAAGTGAAGCCGTTAGCAGTGCTCTCAGTGAGACGACGGTCGCAAACCCAGGTACATCGTCATGATAATAACTGTTTTGAATAAGATAGTGTACGATTAATTATTACACAACCCAAGATATTCAGATCGTTTCTAATCGCTTTGCGCTTCACAAAATTTCAAACATCATGGCCGTCAGACCCATCCCCACCCAGCCACACCGGCGCCGCAACCTTCACTGCCTGCTTTGGATCTTCAGACTTGAATACATCGTAGCAATGCTCAATGTGGCTTTCCTTATCATACCGCTTCTCTGTCATGAAGCCTTTATCTCTCAGTCTATACTGTTTCCTCCAATAGAAAGCACAATGTGCGACATGCCAGCCATTTGTGGTGTAGAAGTATGCTTGGTCGGGAGGCAAGTCCACTAAAAGAGAGATTTCACCAATGTTTGTAGATACGTTGGCGGCATTATCTTTGTAGTATGGCCAAGACCCGTTGGGCCCAGGGCCAGAGCGCTCGAACTCAGCGGTAAGCTCGTCGTCACGGCAGTGTGGCGGCAACCAAGACACTGACAAGCTGTCGTATTTGCAGTCCAATTTCTTCGCTTCGGCGAGGGAAGAGCCGCAGCTACATTCCAATGGGTGTGGTGGACGGGGACTGAATTTCTGATCTCTCACATAAACCGCGGTAGAGAGAACACCCAGAGCAGCGACCAGGATGTTGAGGAGTAGTAACTGAGTATAGAAGGAGAGCCTTCTGTGAGCGGCTCTCTGCGCGTTCGGAGGTTCTGGTTCGGCTTCATTCTCTTTGGATTCGGCAGCGTCTGTGGAATTCGGCAGAGCGGAGTAGTCGGCCGGCATGTTCTGTAGAAGATTGCGTCGTACTTTGAGCTTTTGGGGATTTGTTAATTTATTGAATTGGCTGATCGTATGCCAAGCGAAAAGAAGTTCTATTTTGGTGAAGGTTTCTCGTTCCTTGGATTTCCTTGGATTTCTGTCCGGCATAGATGGATCTTGATGTTTGTCTGCACCTTGTTCGAAGTTCGGACTTTTACCTGGTCCAGTTCCTCATCTGATGATGAACACATGGCTCAAACCCAACGTGTCAAGCACACAAGGATGAGCTCACAAGCTCCCTCTCCAGACGCCAGAACCACGTTTTGTAAAGCTTCTTTCCACGGAATTGGCCCTTTGCTCGACCTGCGCTATGAATCGAGCAAAATCTGACCATCGTAATGCGATTCAACGATCCCGTTTCAATCTGCTTGAACAAATATGATGCGAACCAACAACTTTCATTTTAAGCTATCGAATGGGGCGCGCAAGACTGCCTGACTCGTTCTTGATGGCGCAGATCATGCTTTCCTGAGTACCTAATTTCTTTTGTTGTAGAAAGCGTGACTGGGCCCAAAATCACGAATTGACGTTTGCGCGTAGAGAAGACGTCTGTGACGAAGAATCTGCTCAGGTTTGGCGTCCGGCCTATTTGTTTAATGCGTGCGTAGAGACTGTGTGGTGTCAGCAGTATCATTCTGTCAGTACCTGATATGTCAGTCATAGGAAGTGAGCACTGCTTGTGCTAACCGCGGCAGATTGAATCTGGAAATTTGGGGTTCCTTTATTTCTATCGTCTCTTCAGGCATCTCACATCAGTAATTTTGATGTGACTGCCTAGTTGAGATGGGGGTGTTCCTTGGAATGCGGCTTAAAAAATCTATTATCAGAAATTGCTGAAGGATCACAGGACTCTCCCGTCCTAGCTCATCTGATAATGCCAAGAAAACATCGCATTGAGCAGCCCTATCATGATTCATTCTTCAAGGACCCGATCCGCCGGGGTCGGGGTCAGAGAGAGCCGCTCGCCGACCTTGTCATCCGCGGACTGAGAGTCAGCTGAGTCGAGCTGTCCTTGCCTCAACGTCTGCGACTTCAGGCGAATCTGTCCCCCTTCGCCCTCGCTGAACGGCCTCTGTCGCTGTAGCCGCGCGTATCTTGGCAGATTCGGGGAAGAGATCACTCACTTCCGCCATCGGCACCCAGTGGCGGGAATTTTCGGGTACCAGACGTCTTGTAACGCCTTCGTTACCAGTATAATGGGCCACGTCAAACTTGACACCCGCACGTTTCTGTGCTGACTGTTTAAAAGGTGGCAAGAAACACGAAAACCTCGCTCTCTTCATTCGTGCATCCACGAACGCCGTTTTGATTCGATCCTCGGGCAGAATGTGAAATCCTCCAAACTCTCTTCTTCCTCCCTCTCAGCCTACGTCCTCTCATACAGCCGCACGGTTGTTTTGGACTTGAACTCGCCAACCGCCGCATGCGCCGACACGGAACAAGACAAGCAATAGGCACAGTGCCTAAGTGAAGAGTCCGTGGGGGTAAGACGGGCCAGAGGACCTAGCGGCGGGGATTAAGTGCAAGTTGCCGCTTGCCCGGGCCGAGCGTATTTTGTTCTTTGAAGGAGGCGATGGACCTACTTCGACTTTTGACACGTATAAGCCACACTGCTCAGACCTTCAGCTGCCAAACGCAAGATACGCTTTGCTTACACAGAGTCAAGACACGGCCGAACACGGTCGCTGTCCTGAGCGAATCGACGCCGTTGTTTGGAGTCGAGGTATGGGATCCTTTGACAGATGTAGGCTATTGCCACAATGAAATTAGGTCCTCAGGATTTGGCGGATTAGAGATTCTGGGGCAAGAAGGATTGACATCCCAGCATACCCGTGCATCTCGGGCAGAGAATCAATAAGATCTCCTCGGGCGCTTAAGAGAGCGCGCTTAAGAGAGCGCGCTTAACGGCGTTCATGAAGGGGTTCAGCACCGTACATATTCATGATTCATCATGCAACAGATGCTCCTTCTGTGAGATGAGCCACTGTGTGCCGATATAGCCATCATCACCGCGGAACCCTTACGAAACCGAAAGCCGCCCGAGGGTTGCATGGTGGCGTCCCTCTGTTCTTGTCGCATACGGCTTCATGCCCAGGTTGCCTTGCGACCTGCAGGCTGGTCTGAACCTGCTCTGCCTTGCATGCTCAATTTGTCGGGTCCATGACACTACCCGACAAGGACAGGCGCATACTTGCCGCTCAGTCGGACCTGCGCGCTACACACAGCCAGGCAGAAAAGACATCTGACACTGGCACGTCGAACCGTTTACCAAGGCGGCGATCATGGCTCGGGACCGACTTGACAAGGCACCAACCGCAACTGCACCGCTCAATCCTCGCCATCAGACCGGCTGGAACACCATCTGATATCACTGCCGATCCGAATGTTGAAACAAGATATCCGGGCTCTTGGTATAAAGATCTCCTACTGGTACGTGGGGTGTAAACAGGGCTCCTCTGAGTGGCGCAAAATCCACCGGTTCTTCGCAAAGGACGACAAAACAAGGCTAGACCGCGGGTCATTCCCGAACGACAAGACCGTGCTTTCGAGGTTAATCGCGTGTTGGCCACCGCCAAGGACCAGCTTCTGACCTTATCTACAGGCTGGATCGACCGTTGAAGTTGAGGATTCTGGAAGATCTCTCCGTGGCTTGCCTCCCTCTTTCTTCTTCTTTCGTTCATCGAAGATTGATCGGTCTGTAATTGGATCAGACGTTTGAGCAGCTTAGGGTAAGCAAACTTCACCTATCTTCTTCATGAGAACGTAGGCGAAGTCGACTAACATTTCCAAGATACAGCGTCACGACCAGACGTCGAGTAAACATCCTCAAATCACTGTTGCTTATTACGCCATCAATATGAGGTCCACGCTCTCGAAGGGCGTCGTGTTCCTCCTGTACGGCCTAGCGGCGGCAGCACCCAAGTCGTCCTCCGGCAATGGTGTCTCAAAGAGACAATCTTCGCCCTCTGTACCATCGGGCGCCCCGAATGCTCCGGCACCTAGCGCCCCTGCAGCCTCTAACACACCGGAACCGGTTAACAAGTCTTGCAATGCTCCCGATAGCAGAGGCTGCTGGATGGATGGGTTTGACATCAACACCGCCTATGAGGACAAGACTCCAGATACTGGAATTACTCGCCAAGTAAGCCGATGAAAATGGTAACAAGCTAGCGACTGGTGTGCTAACCAGAATCTTTAGTACGAATTGGTGCTCACCGAGCACACATCTTTCACGGGTGGAGATGGAATGAGCAAGAACTCCGCGATGCTTATCAATGGTGAGTCCTACAGCCGTTCGATTTGATAAAAGTTTGTTGCTAAATGCTTTTGAGGTGCCTTCCCTGGCCCGACGATCGAAGCTGATTGGGGAGATCACGTTGAAGTGCGGGTTGTCAACAACCTGAGGACAAACGGGTACGCAGAAATCATATTCTCATGTCGATCTGACAAAACTAACGCCGTCCAGTACTTCAATCCATTGGCACGGTCTCCGTATGTTCAATAACAACGTGAATGATGGTGTGAACGGTATTACGGAATGTCCCCTCGCACCCGGCTCAAGCAAGACATACAAATGGAAGGCAGAGCAGTACGGATCTTCATGGTACCACTCTCATTTTTCTGACCAGTACGCCAACGGTATCGTCGGTGCCATTAAGATCAATGGCCCCACGTCGGCGAACTGGGATGAGGATTTGGGTGTCTACACCCTCACGGATTGGTACTACAAGGGAGCCGATGAGATTCGATCTAGCTTCACCGCGCCTGCGGCTGTCCCTGCTAGTGACAACATCCTCTTCAACGGAACGAACGTCAACAAGAACGGTGGCGGCAACTACTCTCGAGTCACACTCAAGCCAGGCAAGACTCATAAGATCAGTCTTATCAACATGTCGGTCGACAACACTTTCTCCGTTCAACTTGTGGACCACAAGATGACGGTTGTCAACAACGATCTTGTACCTGTGAAGCCTTTCGAGACAGACTCGCTGTACTTGAGTGTCGGCCAGCGCTATGAAGTCATCATCAAGGCTGATCAGGACCCCGGAGCCTACTGGTTCAACGTTTCTTTCCCGTCCAACAGGCTCTGCGGCACTTCAAACATGAATAAGCCTGCCTCGATCTTCCAGTACGAAGGTGCAAGCACCAAGGCGTTGCCCCGGGACGCCGGCAAGGCCATCACGGACGCTCAGTGTCAGGACAAGACGGACTTCGAGCCCATGTACAGTGTCGACGTAGACCAAAACGGCTTCCAGAAGACTGATGATGACACGCTTGATGTTACTGTTGACACCAGTAGAACCACCAGCAGTCAGCAGGTCTACTGGAAGGTCAATGGCCAGAACATGGACATCAACTGGGACACCCCAACGTTGCAGTATATCGCCCAGAATAAGACCGACTATCCCGCGGCTTACAACCTCTTCAAGGTTCCTGACGAAAACAAGGTGAGCAACCCCCCCTGTGCAACGAATTTGTCGCAAGACTAACACTTCGCAGTGGACCTACTGGGTTATCGAGAATCTTTTCCCTGCTCCTCACCCAATGCATCTTCACGGTCATGACTTCTATATCCTCGGTCACTCTGAGCCTGCCTCTAGTGGTCGTGGCGATGGTGTCCGCTTCAACGCGCAGTCAGACACCTCCAAACTGAACTTCAAGAACCCGACCCGTCGCGACGTCACACAGTTGCCCGGGCGTGGCTGGCTCGTCGTTGCCTTCAAGTCAGATAACCCGGGAGCCTGGCTCTTCCACTGTCACATTGCGTGGCACGTCAGCCAGGGTCTGAGTGTTCAGTTCCTCGAGCGCTCAAACGATATCGCCAGCGTCATGAAGATTAGCGACATTGACCAGACCTGCGACTCATGGGGCGATTACTCGGCCAATGCCCCCTTCCAGCAGACTGACTCTGGCTTGCGTAAGCGCATTGCAGCCTAGGCATCGCATTGGAATCTACCGCGTTTCATGAATTAGCATAGGCTAGGGGCTTGCAAATTTGTGCTTCTTCAGGGTCTGGATGCATGGGCAAATGAGGGAATTGGGTCTTGGGTGACGGGCATGGCATGATCACGAACGAGAAAGCGGGCGCATCATAGATCGAAAGAAAATTCCGCGTCTTTCCTAATTGATTTACTTTCCTTACCTTATGTATACTATGAGAGTCGAATGGATTTGAATTTGAGGAAATACACATGAGCTTCATACTTTGTGCACTTGTCACAGTGATATGACGATAAAGCGGCAAAGCTGATACAGTCAGTAGCCAAAAGTCTGAGCCCACCCACCCCATATACGCAAATCTCGCGACGCACCCTAACCCACCCCTCCTTCTACCACCTACACCACTACCACGAATATCCCTCCAAATAAGGCAATTTAGCACTCAAGTTAGCAGTAATTAACAAAGTAATTATAAGTTATCACTAAAGCTACGCGTAGCAATATACTCAGCAGTAGTATATAGCTAAAATCAGTATATTATCGCTAAGCATTTCTATATCTTATATGGAGTAATATATTAAGCTATTATATACCTCACTAAACAATGCACCTTTAAAAACTTATTTTGTATAAATAGAGCTTACCTATTGATAAAACAAGAAATTTAATATATATACTATATAGCTTAAAAAAACCCTAAAATAACTACTAAAACCCTTACTAGCATAATTAATAGAAAGATATTAGCTATTATTATATATTAAGCTCTCTATTTTTACAACTACTATATATAAAAAGCTATAAAATAAATCTTTCTCACACCTAAAGTATATTATACTTTAAATAACTATATAAAGTATATTTTTAATAAAATAAAAAAAACGAATTAGTTAAAATATAGAATTTAATATATTATATATTCTTAGCTAACTTTTAGACTATATATACTAACAAATATTTATTATGATTTACCCCCTCTTATAAAACTATATAGGTTTAATACCACCCTTCTAAAAAATAAAATAAAGCTTTTATTAATTTAAACTATTATAATAAACTAAAAATTACTATAATATACTAAGAGGCTATTTAGAAGATAGAGAAGTCCTAACTTATATTTGTATAGAAAAACCTAACTTCTAAGAGAAATGAGTATATAATATAGAGTTATATATAAACTCTAAACAAAATGTTACGGTCAGCTATCCGACAGTAGGGTCTGCTAACAGAAGCTGGGGATTGATACGTTCTAACAGTACACTGGGTCGTGGTCGTAGGTCGTAGTTCGTAGGCTGTAGTAGATCGGTTCTTCAGAGGCCAAGGTGATCAGTCTTAGGCTCAATAAATGATTCGCAGTGAAGGTAAGCTGAGAGTATCCGTGAGGATGAATACTAAGTTGATTGCTGAAGAGCTATAGAAGTCTGACCATAAGCCAGGCTCAGGGTCATTATATATAAGTCTAATTCTGAACATGTTCCTTTGTACCTTAGGTCGACCTGGATCATTCTGATCCAGAATGATCGTTTGGCCCCCAAGTCGTGTTGGATCATATTGATCCAATATGATCGTTATCTTATCATCACGTGACTTGGACCATAGTTCTTCCGTTACCGAGTGAGTTCCTGTTGTTCCCGTGATTCTGCAGTACAAATGTCCTGTCCTAGCCGCCCGACGCCCAAGTGGGTCGGTCAACTGTTATCCATGCATAACGGGTCGTAACAGTAAGCTGAGAGTATCCGTGAGGATGAATACTAAGTTGATTGCTGAAGAGCTATGGGAGTCTGACCATAAGCTAGGCTCAGGGTCATACTATTTATAAGTCTAAGGTAGTTTCCTTATTCTGAGGACTGATGTCTTTCTGAGCGGTCTCCGGGTGTGGACCGCTTTCTCCGTGTCGGTCCTAAGTCAGGACCGCTTATCTTTTGTCGGTCCTTCTTATCATCACATGACTTATACTATAGTTCTTCCATTCCAAGTGAGCCCCTGTTGTTCCCATGATCCTGCAGAGTACAAATGTCCTATCCTAGCCGCCCGACGCCCAAGTGGGGTCGTTCAACTGTTATCCATGCATAACGGGTCGTAACATAATACAGCAAATATTAAAGAGTTAAAATAATACCTATATATAGCGTAGTAAGCTATACTATGAAGGTTTATTTAGCGCTTATATAAATCGCTACTATATTACTAAAAAGCTATTTAGAAGGCTAAAAGCTTATGTATATAATATTAAACGCTAGATTTCAAGCTTTCAATTAATATAACCTATTTTACTATACGACGTCGTTTGACAAATTTATTAAAGTTAGGAGGTTAGGTGTTAGTGGCTAGGAGACCCCTACTAGGGCGGGTAGGCTCAGACTTTTGGACAAGAACTGTAGCGTCGTACGCGAATTCAAATTTGGCAGTTACGTGTACTCGAGAGTGACAGGTCAGGTTGCTACGGAGTGTTCCGAATATTGTGTAGACCATGGGGCTAACGATGGCTCATCAGACAGGGATGTCGTCTTACTTGCATGTAAGCCGGGTGTTGTCCACGAATCATCGGTGGCTGATTACTTCAAAGTCCTTCAGTGCATCTCCGTGTTGTCCTACAAAAATCCCAGGTTCCGTACGCTGGAGAGATGGAGTTTCAAACTTTCCGTGGTCCCCGATTCCTTCTCTTATCTTCCCCCTTCGATTGTAAAAGCCAATATGGACGAAACTAAGTTACTCTGGGGTTCTTGGCTCCTCAAGGGTTGGACATTCACAGCTCTTTCAATTCTCATCGGATTTATCGTCATCCGTCGCCTGCTTCTCCCCAAGCCTCTCGCTGGAATACCCTATAATGAGAAAGCAGCAAGCCATGTTTTCGGGGATATTCCCGACATGATGAGATACGTCTTGCGAACCAAACGCATTTTCTGCTGGCTCACGTCCCTGACGACACGCCACAAAAGCCCAATAATACAGGCATTCATCAAGCCTGGGTCACTTCCTTGGGTGGTTCTCACCGATCCCTTCGAGAGCCAAGACGCTCTTCTTCGCAGAAAAGAGTTTGACCGAAGTAGCTTCTTCGGCGAACTTATCGGAGGGATTCTGCCGGAACAGCATATTCAATTCCGGTCTGTAGATCCGAAATTCAAGAGGCCCCGCAACTTGATCAATCACTTAATGGCGCCCACGTTCATCAATCAAGTCAGCGCCCCGGAGGTCTATAAATCAATCAGCACTTTGATCAAGGTGTGGCAAATAAAATGTGAGCAGGCGAAGGGACGACCGTTCTTGGCCCACCATGACATTACCCATGCGGCACTGGATTCCATCTTTGCGTCCTCATTCGGACTTCCAGAGTCGCAGAGTATTACTATTCAGCAACTGAATGCAGTGGAACAATCAGCTCCGGAAATTCTCGGTGGTACGGATGAGGAGGTTGTGTTTGCAGAAGGCACTATACCCGAACTTTTCGCTGCCGTTCTCACTTTGACGAACTCAGTTACCGACACGCAGCTGTCACCGGCACCAATTCTCACATCCTGGGTGCTTCGAAAGTTCCCCTACATGAAAAAGGCTACAGCTGTCAAGGATGGCTACATTCGTGATAGGATCACTGAGTCTGTGCAACTCATTGAGGGCGGCAAAACGGAACCTTGGAGCGCACTTCACTCAGTGCTCTTACGGGAGAGAGAAGTTGCTGCCAAAGAGCATCGCAAGCCGGACTACTACAAACGCTCTATCTTCGACGAATTCTTTGGTTTCATGATGGCCGGCCATGATACATCCGCTACTGCCATGGCCTGGGGGGTCAAGTATTTGGCCGATAATCCAGCCAGTCAAGATCATCTGCGAAGTGCTCTGCGTGCCGCGCTCCCTGAAGCTATCAGAGAGAAAAGGGCCCCTACGTACCAGGAGCTCATCAAAGCTCAGGTGCCGTATCTCGATGCCATGGTTGAGGAGGTCTTGCGTCATTCCGGACCAATTGCTTTTGTCGTTCGCGAGGCTTTGCAGGATACTACAGTGCTGGGCCGACATATCCCCAAGGGTACCAACGTCTTCCTCATGGCTAATGGTCCTGGATATCTCGAGCCAAATATGCCTGTCGACGACAAGTCCCGCAGCCCTGGTGCACGCCGCGACCAAAACAAGGCTCTGACCGGCGCATGGGCTGACGACGACATTGCTGCTTTTAGGCCGGAAAGATGGCTCAAACATGATGAGAGTGCAAAAGGCGAGAGCGATGGGGTGTTTGATCCTATGGCTGGCCCAACGCTAGCGTTTGGATTGGGCCCGCGCGGGTGCTTTGGCAAAAGGCTGGGCTTGCAAACGCTGAAGATTGAATTTGCACTCATCGTATGGCACTTTCAACTTCTGCCGCTGCCTTCTGAGTTGAATGTATATGAGGGCATACAGAGATTCGCGAGGGAACCTACGCAGTGTTACGTCCGCCTGAAGAATGTTGAAACCTAGAAGCCTTTTGTGGGGTTCACATTGGTCACACTTGGAGAGAAAGGGATTCAACCAGTTGTTTGTTAAATTTGGAATTTGCAAGAAGGGTATCGGAATTAATAGGTTGCTGGTATCTAAGGCCCTGGCCCTGCACAACCGATCGATGTCCACTTGTAGCCCTGTGCATTGGCACTAGCATGATCCAATGATCCAAAGCTGTCGGTCAGACAGCTGGCCTTCTACCTTACATGATGCCTGAACGCCTGTGAAAATGCGAGGATCCGAAATTCAACCGCTCTTCTCGTTGTAAACCACCTTAGCCATCTAATATTGTCACGTCAGTAGTATTCTTTATATCAGCACGCAATGCGGCTGAAAGCTACTCACCAAAAAGGGGCCGACATATGTCAGTGGGATTCCAACGTCATCGCTCCAGTAGGGAGGAACTCCATAGCCTCTCATGTTAGGGCAGTTGGTGAACATCGGTGGGTTAACACGGGCCCAGAGAGTCTCGTAGGGGTTATAATCAAAGTTAAACTCGCAGACGGGGAGATTGGACTGAGGATATTGCAATCAGCACTTGGTTTACAATAATCTCGTGAGGATTTAGACT